CCTTTTTATATGTCTTCTTCTTGTTATTCAGTTGCTCAGTCGTGTCCAACTCTTTGCAACTCCATGGACTGCAGCACACCAGACGTTCCCTGTCCTTCACATCTCCCAGAGTTTGCGGCATAATAAGTCTTACTGGCATAATAATTTTAGGTTTTTCTATTCATGGATATCTCAAATGTACAATCCTATAAAAGGCATTACTTAGATTCATGCTTAGTTTTTTAAACAATGGCATCATCCAGAAAAATGGAAAACAGAGGCACTGGAAAAGTACAAACTGATAGTCCAATGAAATCCAATTTTTGTAAATCCTAATATAATACCTCAACAAGATTGTGTTAAACCTAAAGAAATTTAATTGAAGTGTATTAATTCTGATTTCACATGCGCTCTTAAATTATATTCTACATTTGGGAAATCTGGGATTTGTGACCAGTCTGAAATCTTACAAGTTTAGTGCTAATATGCAGGGAAACCAACTCTCTCATTTTATTCCAGTCATACAGCATAGGTGAGAGGGGGACAGTTTTAAATGCATGTAATCATCTCTGTCTCTGATAAAAAGCAGTTTCCAATTTGCAAGAGTCAGTATTTTTATTTAGGACAAATCCCACTACAAACTATAATCATGACAGGGTTTCATGTTATGAACTAAATTGCTTGTAATTTTCATGTCTCATAAAAATAAGATTTATAACCAATGAACTGGATTAAATTGTGTGCTCATACCATCATTCACTCTTCCTCACACACACTTTAAAATGGCAATATTGTGTTGACCTTCTGAAATATACTAAGAGGAGACTTTTCATAATAAAATAAATGAGGGAAAATTCAACAAATGAGTGAAATGAAAGGGGTAGTGACGTTCTAGTTATTATTATTATTTCATTAGAGAATTACAAAAAAAGAAACTGTTTACTTGGTCAACAATAATTTTTATTATTTTGTAAAGCATTCCCATTTCTATAACAAAAGTGTCTGTGCTTGTACTGAATAATCCCATACCTCTTAAGATACATCAACCATCATCACCATTACCACCACCTACCACAAGCTTGCATCTACAAATTGTTAAAGGTTTAAATATGGCCTTTTTAAAAAATGAATTATGTACAAAGGGGAACAAAGATGAAAACATTCATCACATTCCAAAGCCATGAGGACAACGAGTGTGCCTGCATTAAAATGTGGGCTCTTTCCACAAGGCTGCCTGGCTTTCGGTTCCAGAGTATCCTTCTGAACGTGCTTTGGTGCCAGTGGACAGAGTGGAAGCTGGAGAGAAAACAGCTTCATCTCATAGGAGGGAGTCATAAAGTGTCACAGAGAACATAATACTTGAACTTGGATATGAAGGAAAAAGAGAAATTGGCCAAATTAACAAGCAGGGGACAAGCATGATGAGCAGAGGAGAGCACGCATGCAAAGGGACTGAGAGCTGAGAGCAGACGGCAGGTCTGAGAACTAGCGAACCGACCCAGGGCACATGGAAAGAGACCAGTTAAAAGTCAGGCAAGAGCAGACAATGATGGACTTTGAAGTTCTGATTTTTTTCTGTAGCTGATAGGAGCCATCTACCCACGTAAAATAAACATATATGTATGTACAGGTATATATTCATTCTAGTAGCAAAATCCAGAATGAGTTGAAGGAGGAGAGAACTATTAGGAGCAAATGACCAATAAGAATTTGTGAGTGAAGGAAGAAAACAACGGCCGTGGAGAAAGAAAGGAGGAGACTGGAGTTCATTAAAAAATTAAATCAGGAGCCCAGTTATCTTATCCAGTAATCACCAAGAGTTGCTGAAAATTATTATCCCTTTTCTAATACCCCACATAATTTCATAGACTTTTAATAAGGGGAGAAAGAAACAAAGCTGACTATACTATAAAATCTTGTCTACTGTAAGCAAAAAAAAAACAAAAAACGAGGACACACTTTTGCATTATTTTAAAATAATTTGTAGTCAATAAACTACATGAAATCTAGAGTGATTTTTTTTTTAGGGGTGAATTATATCAGTAAGAGAATTAAAAAGCCATATCTAAATGTAATTTTAGTATAAGAAATAAGACTGCAATAGAGTAACTTAACAAAATGTAATAATTACAAACCCAAATTATCTGCCTGCATTATTAAAACCATTACCTTCACCTACAATTTTCTTTTTTTTTTCACTTTATGATTTTCATTCCATCTTTTATAATATAGGCAGATAATCCAGACAAAACTAGATATTCTGGTCTGAATTTGCATTAGCTTTCCATATTGAGCAAATTTATGGAATGGGTTACAGATACATCCAGCCATTGCTTATAACTGACATCTATTGTTCTGTCTGTCCAGCACCTTTCACCCATCTTTGAAAACTGATCATCTTCTGCTTACCCTTCCTCTTGACCTCCATGTGATTAGTATCATAACACCACACCTGCTCAATGTTCAGTGGATGGCCCAGCGCATATCCAATTCCTAGTTACCCTTCGTGTCAATGGCCCATCTCTCCATTTAACCTTAGCGCCCACCATCTCCAGAACACACCCTAGTTGGGAACCACCACTAAGAACAGCTGCACTTCTGTTACAACACACCATCCAACCACGCCCATCAGTCCTTCCCCTTCTCTGAACAGGAGTACCTGTTCATCAGTTAGGCTTCATCCACATCTTCAGGCCCCTGTCCACTCCTCCCAAACCATTGTCTTCCCCACCTCCTTTCCACTTCCAGCCAGAACCCTCTGCTGATCATATCAATAACTCTTTCCCTAGAACCCTCCATTTGTTTTCCATCGTTTGTTTCTAATACAGCAAGCCTGAGCATTCCCCAACAGATGAATCACTCAAATTCTGCTCCAGGTGACGGAGCTCACAGAGAAAGCTGCTCCACTACTCAGACTGCCATCATTCAGATTTACAGCGACTAACCACCACCGCCCTCGGCAATCATCAGTAACCCGTGTCCTAGTCAGTTCACATTCACATTCCCTACTGAAACTCTTTCAAACGTCGACTACTTTCTGGGATAAGAATCCACCTTCCAATGCATGGGACATGGGTTTGATCCCTGGTCAGGCAACCAAAATCCTACATGCCTCAGGGTAACTAAGCTCATGAGCAACAACTAGAGAGAAGCCCATGCACTAAGACCTGATGCAGCCAAATAAATAAATAAAATTTCTTTAAAAAAAAAAAAACAAAAACCACTTTCTTAAGCCCCTTGTTCATCAATCCCTCCATCTTTATCTTAAGCTCTTCCTTCCTCACAGTGAAACGGAAATCTCCAGGTGGGAGGACAGTCACCTCTCCACTCCTCTGCCTCAAATGTACCTACTAGAGTACCAACCTTGATCTCACTCATGACTATCTGAGGAACCAAGTCTCTCTTACTGTCCTAAGAGCACTATTTGTGCCTGGGTCCTAAGTCACAAACCAAGAAACCTTCAGAGATACTGTCTTCCTTCTATATATTTACCTGTGCTTCAGTCTAACTTCTTCCCCCACAATGACATGCAGATCAATTAATCTCACCTCTCAAATAAAACCACCATCACCTGAAATAACAACAAAATCTCCCCTCGGCCCCTTTTCCAGTTTTAGCTACTTCCCATTTTCTCATCAAATTTCTTGAAACCACATACTTTATAATAAATATAAAAGATGTACATTTTCTATGTTTATGTAATAGAGACAGATGGCTACAGTTTGAGGAGCAGAGGTTGAGAAGAATATATATGTAACATTATGTGTATGTAGTTACACGTATTTTTGTTTATTTCCTAAGCCACTGCCATCTGTTTCTAACCAAACCTCCAGACTGAAAATACCCACACTAAGTTACCCATGATCTTATAATTGCTAAGTTCAAAGTTTCATTGCTAAATTCTCTTCCTAATTGACCCAGGAGCATTTAAAACTTTCTTTTCCCTCACAGCACTTACTACCTCTTCGCATTTTATACATTTAGTTGATTAAGAATCTTTCTCCCTCCTGTAGGATGTGTTTATGAGAGTAGACACCCTATGTTTTTGATTCAGAGTCTAGAATAGTGCCTGGCATAATAAGAAACCGATGAATTTGTTGAATAAATAGTACCCACCTCCTGGCCAAAATAGTCTGGGCCAGAGGTAGGAACCACACCCAAACTGAGTCAACTTTGTTTAAACCTAAGAGTTTAAACTTGGGAACAAGAGTCAAGACACTCTAAGTGGATGAAAGGTGAATAAATTTCAGGGTGAAAAGAGAATAAATCAAATATGATAGAGAAGTTGAGACAAAGAACATCCTTTGTCTTGTCATCCAGATAGAATTCAAGCCCCTGTTTCCATTTATCACAATTATCAAAACAAATTCCATCCCTGGTCTCTGTGAAATATCCCAAAATCCAAATAGTAAGTTATTTTTAAACATAAACTAATTTAGTCTCTTATTCTGTTGCTTACTACCAAAAGATTCCTCACTATGGTACTGGTCTCTGGTTGACCAGAAGGCTCAAAATAAACATCTAGAACCAATATTCAAAATTATAAAAACAAAAAGGAAAGAAATGGAAGTAACAAGTTAGAGTTCCCATTCTAATTCCCTGAATGAACAATAGGTGTAAATATATGGGCAATGGTTAGCCTACTTTAACGATATGGAATCATTCTGTTTATGATTTATAAACCCTTTATGACATCACACTTAGGCACTACTTCTGGGAAGAGAGCTATTTACACGTCTTCCTTAAGTAAGATTTCACACACATTCATTTCAGATGTAACACCTTTTTTAAAAAAAATTAAGTTTAGAACTAATTTTACTGCATGCTAATATTCCTCAGGCCATAGACAAGTATACCATTCAGCAGAGAATACCTGAAGAGCCAGAGCTACCACAGCACAGAGCAAATTAACGCTGGAAGGCAAATGAAATGCATTTTAAACTGGCATTTGGAAATGACAAAGCTCTGTCTTGGAGAATAGAATTTAATAATTACCTACATTACATCTCATGGGTACTCACCAAACAAACGCTGATGGAATAGAAATTTGCCAGCTATTAGTCCTATGAGAATGGCAAGTAGCCATAGAAGCACCTTCAGAAGCCTCCAGCCAACTCCTCGAGGATATTTATTTGTTACAAATGAAAAACAGTTTCCAACAACAATAACATTGGCTTCTGTTTGGCTATGAGAAACTGGGTCTTCCGCAAATATTAAGAAGTTAAAGAAGATCACCAAGTAAGCCACGATCATGCGAGACCAGGGGTGCTGGAAATAGTAACGAAAGTCTTTACCCATCCTTCACAACTTCACTTCCACAGGTTACCTGCATGAGAAAAGATACACAGGGTTAGAGCAAAGAAACAAGTAGTCCCTCTCTTTCTGTTACCTGTTCAGATTTACCACAACTCAATAAAGAGGGCTTTGGAAAAGACCAATTCCTGGTTATGGTACCAAGACAAGTCTGAGACTGAATAGAAAATACTGTCCCTTCCCTGTTATCATACTTCTGATCATATGAGGGCTTAGTGAAGCAAAAGAGTAGGGAGACAGAAACGGATATGAGAGGGCAGAATGCGGTCTGACATTGGGATGATGACTCTTCCTATTTTAGATTATCATTTTTATGGTTTAATCATAAAACAGATCATTTAAAAATTGAAGAAACACAGAGGTAAACTGATCACAAACTATCACAAAATAAACATCCTCTTCTGCCCAAATCCTTCTCCTTGGAGTTAAGATCCCTTAATGATTTTGTGCCATATACTTTCAGATCTTTTTTTTTACATTGAAAAATGTGTGCACATGTACAGACTTTTGTAAAAGTGTTCAGTCTTATTTGTCAAATAATTTCAGCACAGAATAAGTTTCATGAAATAGCTAAGTCTATGGCAGAATAGTTGCACGCAGGAGAACTTGGGCAACTCTGTGCGAACTGAGAAGGAAGGCAAAGATTTCACAGAGGAGGACATACTCAAATTGGAGTTTGGAGGATCGATAGAATTTTTTTCCCAGCGAAGAATGCACAGATGCTTAACCTAGGTGTATGCAAGGGTCCAGAGGCATTGCAAAATATGTAATATGCCTAAAGAGCTAGGCCCTAACAGATGTGCACTTCAAGTACAGAAGCTTTCTTAAAATGCTGATACCCAGGCCTCACCCCTAAGTCTTGCTCAGCTCCTCTCTCTTTCCTCTTTGGGGGCCAGTCTGCTCATAAGAACAAAAGCCTTTCTGGGTCCTCCAGGGCTGGAACTGGATGACTAATTTATCTAATTCTGGGGTTCAGTCTTGGTGAGCCCATTTGGTGCTCAGACTAAGTTGTAACTCTTTTCTTATCCAGCAATAAAGCCGATTAAATTTAGGATAATAATAAAATTCTCATTTTACACGTAGCTAAAGATACAAAGATCAAGTCACAAGCCTGAATTAACTTGAAGTCAACAGAAGATCTGAGAATAGGCTCTAAGGCTGCCTCCCAAGTTCCAGTCCAACATTCTGGGCTGATGAATATCAATTAAGACCACAATCAAAGCTAATGAAGACTTGACTTAATTATTTAGAAAAGTTATGGAAACACACAAAAAGACTGGCAGGAAAATTTAGCAACACAAACAGTCATTGGGCCTTGTATTCATAAAACTCCTAAGCAATTTCCTTCCTCATAAATACTCTGAAATATCTGTTCTTAGGGGCTGGAGCTCAGATCACTAATGGATGGCAATTTTTTTTTGTTTTAATGTGATGTTCATCACCCAGTTACAGACGTACATTGTTCTTACACCAAAGAAAGCAGATAAAAGTAGTTAAGAACAAAGACAAACATCATGCATTTTCACAGTATTCAATACGCAGGAATGCCAGAAGGGGCCAGCTGTCAACTCGATTACATGCAAAATCTTTGGAAGTGTCCAAAGACCACTTTTAGAAGAGAATACATAGAAACACCTCAAGGCCAGTGAGTCCTGAAGCAGAAATAGTTGCTACATGCCCATCAGAACTGGACAGTGCCGTCAGTTAAGAAGTTAGTTTCTCTGAAACTTCTCCTACCAGTGAGGAATTCTGGTGTGGTTCCCCCATCAACTCCCTTCGCCACCCACACACAAGCAAGGCAGCCGGATGCAGATGACTAAATACATATAACTCTGATTCACTTTTAAATAAGTGTTTTGTGGAAAGCAGACATATATTTATTTTATTGTTGTTGTTTTTAACTTCAGAATCTTGCTTTGTGGGCTCTGTAATTTCCACATGTCCAAACTGAGTTACAACATTCAAAAAAATTTGGAGGTAGCTCTTCCTCTCCAATATTTATATTGTTTCAAGAGAGAACTGTAGTACTGAGCAACAATCCCGCCTTAGTACAGGTCCTAACTCCCACAGCCAAGCTATGCATGCTACTACCACGCCCTTATGATGGGAAGAAAATAAAGCAGGGACTTCCCTGGTGCTCCAGTGGCTGGGAGTCCACCAGCCCATGCAGGGGACCTGGCTTACATCCTGGTCTGGGAAGATCGCACAACTAAGCCCAGGAGCCACAACTACTGAAGCCTGTGTGCCTAGAGCCTGTGCTCTGCGAGAAGAGAAGCAACCACAACTAGAAGCCTGCGCACTGCAATGAAGAGCAGCCCGCCTTACCGCAACGAGAGAGAGGCTGTGCCCAGCAACAAAGATCCAGGGCCGCCACGAATAAACTCATATAATAATAAGGATAAAAGAAAACACAGGAGCAGGGCAGGTGCTGCCTATTTAATTAACAGATCCATAAGCAGAAGAGCCAGAACTTGAATCAAAAGCCACTCCTGGCTCTTGGTCTCTCTAACACACCCCAACAAATCCGGACGTGTTTCAAAAAATATTTCCAATCATGTTTACAGCTTAGTCTTCATTTCCGCTAACAGATTCAGTGACTTAAGACACTAGCCAAGTGAATGGGATCATCTGGTCTTTTTCTTTTCTGGTAAACATGTTTATATATTCTTGCCTCATACTCCACAGTGGAATCAATGTATCCTAGTGGGCCCCAAATTTCAAAACTTACATAACCTGAACAACAGCGCTCATCTCCGCTTCCTGACTCCCTATATGAGGAGGTTGACAAAAGTTTGCCTAGTGATATCAGCCTGTTGTCCAGACCACCAAAACTGCTTTGTCCTCTGTACTTCCCATAAAGCATTCTGATAATCAGTGCAAACGTTCGGTGACTGTACTGTTAACCCATGACTGAGGCTGTTCAAACTGACTATGCTACACGGTATACACAGTCTAAAAACATTTTTTAAATTTTTAAAAATTCAATTCTGCTTTCATATTGAGCTTTTATCTTATGTAAACGTGCTTTCATTTTAGCTCTTAGCAGATCATAGTGAAATTATATGTTTATGTATTTGTCTTCTTCCCTAGATCACAAAGTCCCCAGGGAAAGGGCTGTTTACTTTCAGGGCATAGCACAGTGCTAGCCTCATAGTGGGCAATTAATAAACTGGATAAACTGAGTGGAACTACAAAAGAGAAGCCCCCTTGTATAAATGAGATGAGAAGAAGGCAGAGCAACCTGCCATTCCTTCCACTAAGGCAAGAGAAGAGCAGCTGAATCCAAAGACTGCAAGAATGATGGGCCAGTAACAAGCACTGATACACCCTCAACCCCATCCCTACAGCTACCATCCCATTTCAGCACCAGTTTCTGCACTGTTCTCATTATTACTAAGGTTAACACTTACTAAAGACTTACCATTTCGCAGACACTATGCTGAAGGGCTTTACAAACATCTCATTCAAATTTCATAGCAACCTAATGAAGAGATACTCTATTGGAAGCAATGTTTAAACTGAGTTTAGTAGCTTGCATCAAAGAACAGAACAAACCTCCGCCAGAGCCAGGATTCAAATTCAAGCCACATGCCTTCAACATTCTATACTACATCTTTCCCACACAAAGACACAGATTCCAAAATCGTGCCTTTTTCATGTTGTTTAGAAAGTTCCTAACAATAAGGCCAACTGATATTAAAGATTCATAGTACTTCTAAGATAAATGAATCTACTATTACTATTCAAACTGACTTGATACCATGATTGGAAAGCACTGGGATCATGTGACTGACCAGGATTGCTCTAATTTTTTCCCTTCTCCTTTGAGCATCAGTATAAGTAGTTGAGTTGATCTGATTGTCCTTTTGCAATGCATCACCGACATTCATTCGGATTTTCCAACTCTACTTATACAGAACACTGCACCTCTGAGAACTAGACTAATTCACACTATTCAATTTCCTCTCATAATAATAAAATCATGAGACAGATGCCACCATCAGTATCTTGGAAGCCGCTGCTTTCACATAACAGCAGTGACAGGCTGAAACTTTACACCCTGCCTGGTAATCCATAGGCCTTCAGTCATGGTTTATACTCTAGAGGAACTGGTATTTAGTGTAGGTATCAGAAATGTCATGCATTTTACTACAAGCCAGTATTTTACCTGGTGAAGTAAAGTGAAAGTGTCAGTTGTTCCTCTGTCTATGGAATTCTCCAGGCAAGAATCCTGAAGTAGGTAGTCATTTCCTTCTCAATCCAGGGATTGAACCTGGGTCACCTGCATTGCAGGCAGATTCTTTACCATCTGAGCCACCAGGGAAGCCCCATTTCACCTGGTACTAACAGCTAAGAATGGAAAAATGGAAAGTAGGTAATTACATGCAAGTTGGGAGGAGGAGCTCAGCAAAGGCACAGGAAAGGACGTCTGGGACAGAGAGATGTATCAGTAGTTCTGTGTGGCTGGAACACACAGCACTTGGGGGCACCCTCAGATAGTTAAGGATAATCTGGGGCTATTTTAAGGAAGATTACACAAAAGTGGTGTTCTTTATTTTACTGATTAGAGACTACAGAATCAATTTTCAAAGCAGAAGAGCAGTACAATTGCTTGCAGCAGGATTTTGAAAGATTTCTCCGCCTACTTGGAAAATGACAAACTGGTTAAGAGGCATGATGAAAACGGCAACACTCACTGGGAGGCAGCTCCAACAGTTTACATTAAAGATAATCAAGTACTGGACCAGGAGAACATCAAAGCCCTGATAATTGTTTTAATCATTTACCTGATTGGACCAAAGCACCCTGCCTTCTTTACTTACTGGGGTTTTTCCAAATAAGTGAAACTCTCAAGGACTTCAAGAGTACAAATTTCATGTTTCCCTCAGCAGGAACCCTGGCTCGGGTGATGCTTTATGCATAATGACAAGTATGAGCAAGATGGAGTGTATCACTTCCATTGAAAAAAAAAAAAAAGTATGAGT